CCGCCGCAACGACCTGTCTCTGCGCGTCGAGCGCCTCGCCCTGGCCGACGCCGGCCGCTACTTCTGCCGCGTTGAGTTCGCCAGCGACATCCACGACCGATATGAGAGCCGCCACGGCGTCCGGCTGCGAGTGACCGGTGAGGCGGGCCCGGGTCCGAACCTCTCCCGCCTTCCCCGTCCCAGTCCGGCGGGCTGACCTGTGCCAGGTGCGATAGGAAATCCACGAGAACCAAGCCCTCTCCCCTCCCCCTGGGGGGCTCAAACCTAAGCCTGCCCACGGAAAGAGCTGGGCTGGGCCCCGGGAATAGCCGCTGTGATGCAGCCCTTGGACCGTGGCGGTCCCTAGTAGCTCGCAGACCAAGGGGAGGGTAAAACGAGGGAACGACCCTGACTATGACAAGGGCTGTATGCACCCGCAGTCCCCGCTCGCCAGTGATGGGCACCGTGCTAGACCCAAGTTACGAAGATCCCGGAGCCAGGTAGTGGTTCTCCACTCGGGCCCAAGTTCTGCATCACGACAATAATGACCCTTTAGCGAGCACCTGCTATGTATGGGATCAGGCCTTACTCCAAGCGCCCCAACGGGATTAACTTGCCACGTTTTCTCAGCCACTCCTTACTTGGAGAAACTGAGGCATAGAGAGGCGGAATGACTTGCCCAAAGCCACACTAGTATGGGGACCCAGGCAACTTGGCAACCAGAAGCCCACTCCCTCCTCTCTGAGCTCCCACCCACTCCTCCGAAGCACACAGGGGAGAGGCAACCCTTGCCTTTACCCGCTGTTCGAGCCCTGCGTCCTGCTTTCTCACCTGCCCAACCTTGGCCGCTACTCGGTGACCGCCGCCCGCTTTGTACCACGCAGCCGCGCCGCGGATCATCAATATCTCAGTGGTGCCCGGCCAGGCGCACACCTTCCGCGCCCTCTGCACAGCCGAAGGGGAGCCGCCGCCCGCCCTCACCTGGTCCAGCCCGGCCTTGGGCAATATCTCGGCCGCCTTGCGGGGCCCAGGTCACGGCTACCAGGTGACCGCCGAGCTGCCCGCGCTGACCCACGACGGCCGCTACACGTGCACGGCCACCAACAGCCTGGGCCGCGCCGAAGCCAGCGTCTACTTGTTCCGCTTCCACGGCGCCAGCGGGGCCTCGGCCATCGCGCTCCTGCTTGGTGCGCTGGGCCTCAAGGCGCTCCTGCTGCTCAGTGCTCTGGCCGCGGGTGCTGCCCGCCACCGCCTAGGTGGGTGAGCCCTGGACCCCCATGGGTGTGAGGGGCGGGCCGGACTCTCTCTCAGATAAGGCCATGTGGCTGACACCCCCCACTCCCAGCATGAGGGACCATAGCGTCCTTTTCGCACCTGTGCGTCATGTTCTTCTCCCTGAACCGGGGTATCGGAGCCTGGGCTCTGGAGTTCCCTTTGCCCCATGAAAGTGCTCTGCGCGGGCTGCAGGCTTTCCCCAGCACCACCACTCCTTACGTTACAAGCCTCTAGGGCCTGCTTTGTGCTGCCTTGTGCTGCAGGGCTGCTGGAAATACTGAGATGCCTAAGGCCGGGTTCCCTGTCCTCCGAGGGGGCTGAGTCAGCAGATCATGGCAGCAGGCTCTGAAAGGGGACCCCTAGGCCCCAGAAACTGTAGATGGCAGAGATTGGTATGATGTATTCCGGTGGGACCAGAAGGAAGGCCTCATATAGAATACAAACCGAATACGCATGAACTGGGACACAAGGAGCCAATGGTGCGCACCCGGCAGGAGGCACAGCATGGGCAGAAGTGTGGCGGCTTGGACCAAGGCTGTCCTTAGATTGCTGCCACACACTCTGGTCACTGAGCTGCATGGGAAAATTTCTGCATGTTCCAAGGAGGGAGGGACTTCCAGAGTGTGCTGTCCTCCCAGGTCATAACCACTAGCCTCAAACTCTCTGGGCATGAAATCTAGAATTTGTCATGGTTGTCATGACTACTACCCTTACTTTGCCCATTCTGGCCTTCTTGCTGGCTCTTCAAACTTACCAAGCATTTGTGCTTGAGGGTCCTGGAAAAGTGGTGTTAGACCCCCTGACTCCACCTCTGCCCACATTAACTTCTAGTCAGCTTTCAAGTGGAGGCCTCAGTGTAACTTTTGCAGAGCCTGTTGTCTGTGGCCTGTTGCATGTTTCCTTCCTTGGGGCCCTTTTTCGCTGTAGGGGTGGGCAGTGGCAGTAGGCGTGTAGGCTGGAGGCTGCAATGCAGACTTGTTCCTCTCTCTGTCCCTCACACAGAGCTCCCGGCCACCCAGGACATCCATCCTTGGTAAGTGCGCTCACTGTCTCACTCGGCTCACCTGTATCTAGTCCCATCAGCTAAGTCCCATCACCTGTACCTAAGTCCCATCTAAGTCCTATATGAGCTTTCTCACCACTGGCATAAGGAGAATGAAGAGGCACAGGACAGAGCCAGGGTCTTCCTGCCAAAGCAGACTCCCACAGTCCAGCACAGCCTTCCCTGGAAAGACAGGCCACACTGACCAACTGTCCACTTATACCACCCACCCTCAGGGCATGGTGCCCGTGGTGCCGACTGTGATACTTTCTCACTTCCAGGATGTTTCTTCTTGTAGTCCCAGCATTCTAAAACAGGCCCACACAGAAGCCACCACGGGGACACTTGTTCTCCCCAGCACAGCTAAAGTCTTCATAAACAAAATCTCATCAGAGGTTCTAAGGGCATGGCTTCCATGAGGGGCCTACAGATCTCAGCTAAGTAAGCCACTGACAGGAGAGCCATGCTTTCCTTCGCTGTGGTGTCTGCCCAAATGAAGGCTGGTGCCATGCTAAAAGAGAAAGAAACCAGCTCTGGACCTAGGTGCTCTGTGCCTGATGCTGGCTGGGCTGGGGCTGAGAGGAGCCCAGCCTTTTCTCCAGCTGCCTGCTCGAGCATCTCCTGAAGTCTCCATAACTTGTCACATGTCCATTTTCTGTGTAATTTACTATCACACCAAGAGCCCTGAATAAGAAAGCCAAGGCATTTTAGGAATTTTAAAAATTGCAAGTACTATGTAGCAGACACTGGTTTGGATGCTTATGAGAAAAATCTCTGAACTCACTTTCCAGGAAAAATTTAATAAGCAGAAAAAAGATTATCTTAAATTGTAAAATAAGAGATGTGAAGGGAGTGATGAAACAGAGTCCCAGCGGACAGGGTGACCACTGGGCTGTGGCCACATTAAATCAGGACATTCTCTCTGAGGACGTGGCATGAAGGGACCTGAAGCTGGAGGCTGAACCTGGGGTAGCCAACTCCAAAAAGGGGAGAGGCGAGAGGAAAGATGTGAGTCTGGGGGAGTCAGGTGTGGTCAGAGCATGGAGCTTGGGGTGGGAACCTGGGCAGCCGAGGCCACAGGGCTACTCTGAGAGTGACAGGAAGTCACTCGGTGGTTGAAGCACCTGGACAAGAGGGTCCAGGAGATCAGATCTGGGGGGCTGTGTGGCTGTTTGGACTGAGATGTCAGTGGTGGGGTTAGGGAGCTAAGACAGGGGGGTTGACCCAAAGGCAAGGTGGGCAGCTTATGGTGAGGGAGGGAACCAGGATGACCTAGGGTGAAGCTTGGGCCTGGGAGCTACTTCCTGGGATGATGAAGGGAGAGAAGAGAGGTGGGGGTGTGAGGATCACACAGTAAGGTAGACATGAAGGACTGAGGTGCCCATTAATGCGTCCCAGGCAGAAGTCTGGAAAGCAGTCAGAGCTCAGGTCAGGCCCAGAGACTTAGGTCTGGAGGTCAGGGACAGAGTCGGATTGTGAAGCCTCTGGCAAAATCACTTCCAGGAAACAGAGACTCTGTGGTACAGGATGCTGTCACCTACAGCAGCCCCTTCCTTACCGTGGCCCTGCCTCTGACATTCAATTAGTCCCCAAGCCCTCTTGGTTCCTATCTCTTGCTCCCTATTGTCCTCTATCTCATATCCCCTTGGCCTGTTGCTAGGGTAATTTAGGAAATCAGAGCCCTCCTTATTGGCTGGTCAGTCAACCTTCTTCTTTCACAGGCCCCAGGCTCAGGAATCCAGTTATGAAAATTTGGGCCAGATGAACTCCAGGAGCCCACAGTCTGCCGCATGTTCCCCATGAGGAGCTCCTCAGCCACCAGCATCCACTTGTGCACCTGAGAAGAAAAGGCCAGAGTGAGGTTTGGCTGCTACAGCCCTTCCTGGTTCGCAGGCACCTTGGCAGCCTTCAGCTGGGTCATCAGCGGTCAGAAGCCAGCTCACAGCAGTTCACCTGGCCTCCTACTTAGACTTCTGTTTCACAGCCCCCATGATACTCGTGCTAGTGGGAGCAGCATTCTGAGTGTGCATGTGTGTATGTGTGTGCATACCTTTATTGGTCAGCTCTCCTGTGACTGGGACAAAATATCCCACACCCACAGTTTAAAGGAGAGGTTTAATTAGCTCACAGTTTCAGTCCAGAGGTGGCTGGCTTCAAGGGAGAAATAAGTGTGTTATGGGGCAAAGTTGCTCACTTCAAGCAGAGTGGGGAAGAGCACCCTTCAAAGGCACTCCTCACCTTCAGCTGGGCCCCACCTCCTAACAGCACACGCAGCTGGGAACATCAGTGGGAGTCAGTTGAACACAGTACCCCCATGATCCAGTCACCTTTCTTGGAGTCTCATAATCCAGCCAAATTAACAACCTCTGCAGTCACGGTGGCTTTGTGTGCCTCCGTGTGAAACCTCTGGACAGCTTTCATCTTTTTTTCCCCTAGGCCACCATAGTAAAGCTCCAGGAACCTGGTCAGAGGGTCTGGGGGCCCAGGCTCCAACCTGCTCTACCAGGTTTCTATGTGGACTGGGATAATTTTTTTACCTCTTTGGGTCTCAGTTCATCCACCATTGAACATGAACAGTAATAGAATCTTCCCCTTTCGCTGGGGTCTGTGAAGATCTGAGGGAATAAGAGATGTGATGGGGTTTTTGCAACATACAAGGCTGTCTCAGATTTGACATGCAGTTTTCAGATGTTGGCAGTCACATCAGGCTTGCAAGAACAAAGCATTCCAGAGAAGATGCAGGTTGGGGTTGTGCAAACTGTGGTCTGAGGAATATCAGATCCTGGAAACTTGGTAGCAGGAGAGGCCTGGAGCCCCCACTTCCTGCCTCACTGTGACTGTTCCATTCCCTCTGCCCAGCTCTTACTGCCCCAGACGCTCTACAGTCTTGAGGTGGGGCCTCCAGGACAAGGAGCCAAAGACCCATTATCTCAAAGCATCTGGAAACTACTGTCTCAAGGGTTGGAAGCTAGGAGACTTGAGGGAAGCTATGAGACCCCGTGAACGAAACAGCTAGAATCTATGGTCCACATCCTACCTGGATATGTAGCCCAAAACCACTGGCACTCTCACCACATTCGCCCAAGTCCAATGAGGCTAACCTTATGGGGTAGATATCAATGTGAAATTATTGCTCCTATTAGGGGAGAAGCATGCTTGAGAGCCAGGTGAACTGACAAGACAGTGGATAAAGAGGCCATGATGCTTTTCTGGGGAGATGCTCTGAAGGTTGAGAAGTTCACTTGCGCCCCCTCCTCACCACAGCCTTTGCCAGGGCAAGTGAGTGATGGCAGCTCATTACTGAGATTCAACCAGAAGCTTGTCTGAGCTGTTAAGGGGAGTCCTGTGTCACCAGGGAAGTAGTTGGGTATACAGATGTGTGTTAAGAATATTTGCTTGCTCTTTTAAGCCAGGTTCACAGCACCCCCCCAAAAAAACCTGTAATGTAAATCACTGCTTATGTATCTGCTTTGTGCTAGGAACTGGACAAAGTATTTGAGGCTACAAATGAAGGAGCAACCTGTATCGGTCAAGGTGGGCTAGATTGTGCTTCCGTAACAAACCCCAAAAGCAGAAGCTGAAAACAATGAGTTTATTTCTTGTCAATGCTACAGGCGCATCAAAGACCAGCAGAGAGGCTTTACACATTGTTACTCAGGGACCCAGGTCCCAGAATCCATCATCTTTTATGTTGTGGATTAGAGGGAGAATCCCCTAGAGGGAGTTGGGTGTGAATCCCTGTTACTGAAGAGGCCAAGGCAGGAGGATGCCAAGTTTGAGAATTGCCTGCGCAATTTAGAAAGACCCAGTCTCAAATAAATAATCATAGAAAGGGTTGGTGGTGTAGCTCAGTGGTAGAGTGCCCTTGGGTTTAATCCTCAGGAACACACACACACACACACACACACACACACACCCTCCCGAGCCCCTCCCACAAGTGGTCACAGCTCCTTAGCCAGACCTAGCCAAGTTCCCTGCTCACTCAGAAAAGACTAAGCAGGGCAACCCCACACAGTACTCAGAAAAGGGACACTAGGGACATTTGGGAACAGCATCAGTGGCTCAACAGTGAGCCCTTTCAGAAGCTCTCAAGCTAGTGAGTGACATAGTAAATGGAAAATCATATATGGGTAGAGGTATCTGGAGGGCCCAGAGTGGGGCACATATGAGGGGTAACTTCCCCTGTCCTCGGAAGGCTTCCTGGAAGAAGGTTCATGGAAAGTACATGTCCACTATGCAAACAGAGAAGACCAAGGGGAGAGTGGAGGTTGGGAGGTAAGAAAGACATTCTAAGCCATGGGAGTCTGGGCAAAGAGCAGGTCAGGTGCACCATGGCAAAAAGTTACCAGAGCAGGAGGGTAGGGTTAGGGTGGGGCCAGAGCTGGAGCAGTAGGATACCCTATGCTGGGTATCGGGTGCTACCAGCCTGTATGTGCTACTTAGTCTTCTTTCACCCATGCAACCACTGCTTTCTTCAGAGCCAGGATGCTCTGGGCAGTGTCTCTCAGTGAGTTCCAAGGGGCACCTGGTCAGAACACTTGGGGAAGTTCGTCCAAATGCCCATTCTGAGCACCACTTGGACTCACTGAATCACAAGCTTGGAGGAGGCTGGAATTCTAAGCAAATTCTTTAGGTAACTTTGCCTTCATTTTATCATGATCATTGTTATTGTTGCTTTTGTTTTGTTTTTGCTACCAGGGATCAAACTCGGGTCCTTGTGCTTGCAAGGCAGGCGGCAGAACCACTGAGCTAAATCCCTGGCCCTATTATGATCATTTTTACATACACACTGAGAAAGTTGAAAAAGACAATCACCCATATGCCCAGCACCTCCATTCACCACACATTTCTCACCAAATGCTCCACGTGTGTGTGTGTGTATGTGTGAATCATCTCATCTCTAAGCTCTGCCACTGCAGTACTTCACGCCAAGTACCTTCAAAGAACAGAAATGCTTTCCTCCATACTATCACCATGCTTGGGAAAATCCACAGTAATTCAGCAATACCACCTGCCTCAGTTACTTTTCTCACTGTTGAGACAAAATACCCAACATCCACAAATTAGAGCAAAGTGTTTATTTAGCTCACAGTTTGTAGAAGTTTCAGTCCATAATTGGCTGGCCCCAAGGCAAGGTGGCATAGCAGACAAGCATAGCACAGGAGAAACAGTTCACAGTGGGCAGAAGACAGAAGGCAAGAAATTATAAGTGACCAACAGCTTCTTTGTGCCCCTTTTATATTGTCTAGCCTACCGGGCTTAGGGTGGGTGCCAAACCAATCAGTGGACTGCTGTAGTAATCACACACCCTTAATCCCAGCATCTTACATTCTAGGCCCAGCCACCTGTGCAAAAGCCCCACCTAGGACTGCATGCAACTTTGGGGAACATCTAGATACAAATTTCCCCCAGTTGTCCTCCAAATATCTTCTTTAGCTTGTTGCTTGTAACCAGGATCCATTTTGACTCTAGATGGTTCTTGGGCAAGCAGAAGTTTAAGGCTCACTCCATGACAGTCCTGACATTTGTTTCATAGTGCCTAAGTTCAGGGGTGCTGGCTAACAATATGGCAGTCCTTGCTGCAGGATTTACACTTGGGAGAAGAGCTACTTGGGAACAGAAGTACCATTCTCTCGAAGGCCTCTGATGCAGCCGTTCAGGCAGTGATGGGTCATGGGAGCTCACTGAGGGGCAGGTACCCCTCCCTTATCAGTGTGCACCTTGTGCATAGGAGCCTCCTGCTTGGTTTCCAGATAAAGCAGCTGCTCCAAAGGACAGGAGTGAGGATGGTGAGGGTCAGCACTCAACTCTCAATCCATCCCCTGGGCTGACCCTGTGACAGATCTGAGTGGAGCAGAGCTACCTGTCCAGCCACATCTGCCCTCTCACAGCACTTAGGTTCTGCTGCTGGCAAGAAAGGCCAGAGACACAACACCCTGAGCCAGCACAGTTGGACCACCTTTCCTGGAGGACAGGAAGTGAAGGGAAGAAATGACCTAGACAACTTAGTGTTTTCAAACTCAGACTTCTCAATACGGTACAGGGGGAACAGGGTTGAAGCTCTCCACTTTCTTGTCCTAGTACCACAGGAACACAAGTCTGTTCACCAGCCATTCCCCAAACCTTAAATTTTGTGCTTTTATCTGGAAAAAAAAAAAAAAGTCAAGCCCAGGACAGAGCCCCGGGACACAGCCCACACCCAGAAGGCTGTCCCTGGGAACTCCTGAATTGATATTAGTCCCAAATGGAACATGCAGGCTCTCCCAGCATTCCTCGTCCCATTTAACATGTCTTACAGATGTTCATGAAAATATTAAGGAGCTCTCTGGCACACCAACAATGAAGGCAGATTTCTCAGAGCAGACTCTGAACAGGGACACTGCCCTCTGCCGGCACCCCTGCCCACCCACAGCGCCCCTCCCCACTCCCACCTCCAGACCTTAAAAGCTTCTGTGCAGCTCTAAGCTGCCCACCCCATCAAAACTTGAGCGCACAATGTGAGGGGCTCTCCTATCTCTCCAATGGACTGCTAACCGCCCCGTTACAAATTCTCTTTGAAATGGGAGGGCTTACCATTGTGGCAAACATTACAAAAGATTTTGCCCATTACAAACTTCCTAATTTAAAATTTTTCTTAGTGTGATTTATATATGAAAAGGAGACTTGCCAACCTACTTGCCCAAAACAATGAGAAAGGCCCACCATGGGTAAATTAAATTAGAATGGCTTATTTGCAGAATTTTAGCCAATCCTCATTTCTTCCTGTTTCTATTATATAAAAATTCATCCTTTGTACAAGCATATAAAATGTTGAGCAAGGAAAAAGTAAATCCTGCACATTTAATGACTAAAATAAAATTGTGGGTTTTTTTTTGTGGGTGTTTTGTTTTGTTTATGAGAAGGTTTTACTATGTAGTTCAGGCTGGTCTTGAACTCACTATGTAGCCCAAACTAGCCTTGAACTTGTGGCAATCCTCCTGCCTCAGCCTCCTGAGAGCTGGGATTACAGGCATGCACCTCCACACACCCCTAATGTTGTGGTTTTTTATAGGTCACATTAGACAAGTGGGAAGGAAGAGAGCTGAATACACTGAAGTACTTATCTCCAACAGAGTGGCTTTAAATCCTTGAAAGAATTCTCAGTGCTCAGTGAAAGATATCACATCAGTACATTTAAAAAGTAAGTTGTAGGCCAGGGATTTAGCTCAGTGGTTCTGCCTCCTACCTTGCAGGCTCAAGGAACCGAGTTCGATCCCTGGTACCAAAAAATAAATAAATAACATAAATAAGTAAGTAAGTTGTAATCAACAAAATTTCTTAGCAAATTCATTATTCCAAAAGAAGATCAGAAGTTTAGTTTTCATCAGGTTATTCTCATAAGAAATCAGGAACCCATCCAGAGTGAAGGAAATGTTCTAGACCACAGGATGCGTGAGGCCTGTTGTAAAACACATCATCACTGTAGAGCAGAACAAAGTGAGGATCAGTGCCCCTCTCTTAAATCAAGATCTTTACCCAGCTCGATCCAGACACAAATGGAAGATCACAGAAGGGGAGTTTTCTTGTAAAGCAACACATACTTCCCCAACACTGTATTCTCCATTTTGTTTATAAGACAAAAGAAAATTGAGCAGAGAAACAATCAGCTACTACCTCAAAATAAGCTGTAAAGCTGGCCCCTATTGAAGAGCATGCAGTAGTAAAAGATTAAGTGCAGACCAAATGCCTACTACTTATGCAGATACACAAGGAGACCAGAAGTGGTATTAACTTCAGGTCTGGAGTTGGAACTTAGCACAGTTTAACACTGTAACTGCCAGACCTGATGCTATCTCAGTGTTCAGAGAACTAAGTAAATGGCACTGCTGGGACCATACAAGTGTGACTGTCAGGGCAGGAACCAGGATAAGGCAACCAAGACACCAAAGGCTTTTAGAGAAGGCGACAAAGCACTCTTGGCATCTACAAATGATGACTTAAAATCTATACCCTCTGTGCTTCTTTGGTCCTAGGCCTAACCCTGTTACTCCCAGGCACAGTAACATGGAGGGATTTCGGCACTTTTTCCCATGGCAGTTGAACATCAGGTAGAAGACAACTAATGAGTTTGGGGCATTTAGCCTGGAAAGAACTAAACTAAAGGTTGGGGGTCAGAGATGTGACCAGAAGAGTAATGTCTGTTGAGAGGGGAGCACAAGAACAGCCCCTATTTGGAATACTTCCAGGAACACCCACAACCAATGGGGAAAACTGCAAGGAGACATCTTGGCTTGCTATAAAGCAAAACTATGAGCACAGGATGTTGGCCAAATGGAGGGGAGACTAAGGATTCCCACTGAGAGGTAAACTGAGGAGTGTTTCTGTCCTCTCTCACTGTCCATGCCTGTGATCCTAGGACATTTGCTTCCTGTTCCAGGAAAAGTTTTGGGAACAAAAAACTTAATGATGAAGTGTATCACCTTCATCCAAGTAGAAGATGGGCATGGACACACTTAACCTGTACAACAGAGACACACTAGTTTTAGTGATTACTCATAAGGAACATGGGAAGTTAGGCTAGGGTGAAGTTGAAAGTTGTATTTTCTGCACTCGATTTCCTCCATATCGAAGAACAGAGAGACTTAGATACAGCTTTGGTAAAGTGGAGGCATATGGTGGCTGAGCCAACACACTGATCATGAAATGGAGAAACCAGCCATGCTGGGGAGCTGGGAGCAAGTATGCAGGACTATGGGCCCCTGCTTGACCCGCTATCACACTGTACAGAAATGTGGCAGGACCTCTTTGCCTGAACACCCTGTGTTTTCCAGGTTTTTGCCTTTCGTGGTTCTAGTCGAGTGGAGCAAGGAAATGGAGGGATCCAGGCCACTTCTCTACCTCATGTTTCTACTGCAGGATGAGGTACAATGAAGGGAGAAGAGGCGCTTTTCACTGGAAGCAGAATACTGCCGTTTTCCTCAGAAAACATTAGACATTGCTGGCCACAGTGCAGGAGTTGAGCACACAATGGTCTGCCTTCTACACTGTTGAGCCCATGAGCAGGCCCGGGTCTTGCTTGACCCCAATATCCACATGTAGTGCCAGTCACTGCCTCTGAAATTGTGGCCCTGTGTACTCCAGAGGTTAACAGTCTTTTTAAGCAAAGGCTAATTCCTGGGCGAGCAGCAGGCATGCTGGCCTGTCTGCAGCCCTTCCTTTCTGGAGGCTGCTAGCCCAGGAACCTAGGCCATGACTAAACCTTCCTATGTTAGATGTGAAGGAGTAAAACAGTAAGCACTTTTACTGACCCTCTCTGAAAACAATTACAATGTTGAAGTAAATCAGATGACATCAGGCATACAAGTTAACACCAAATTTAACAGGAGCACTTCTCCAGTTCAGTTGTATCCCTGTAATTCAGATCCGTAGGCATCACAACCAAAGACTGATTTTATTTTTTAATAATTTTTATACATCAAGTACCTTATAAATATTATAAACTTTCAAAAATTAACAGATTAATCATAATTATCTTTAAAATGTGCATACTTCATTCAAACACTTCACATTCTAGGATATCAATAATTTCATCCTCCTCAAAGAAAACAGCACTTATCTCCTGTCCTAAAGTCACTGCTGCCAAATCAGCCAATTAAACTGTCCACAGCTTCTAAAATTTTCTTATACATAGGAGGGGAAGACGATTGATTTGAAAAGGGACAACAACAAAACCAAGGGAAGATGAGATGTGTCTCTGTGAGATAACACCTTGTGGCCTACAAATTAAGGCAATGAACAGAGATGTTCTTTGTCAGAGCTCCAAGGTTTGCCTACGAGGCAGGATTATTGTGTCGATAAAGAGTTCCTACGAACTTCCAAATGTGGGGGAAGCACTCTGAAAGGACATGTGGGAAGAGACTAGTATCCTGTTAACTATATTCTTATCTCTCTACTAAGAGATGTTGGTGACCCTTTAGATACTCTTAGATAAATATTCTTGGGCTAAAGACAACCCATAAACAAAGACACATTCTGTAAGCTGAACAAAAAGATCCATTTTGAGTTGACAGAATTACAAATATGTTGATTGAAGGCAAACTGCTAATTCCTAATTCCTGGAGAAAAAAAAATGAGCAAGAAGATGGCAACAGAACAACACAAAGTTATAGACAGGTTTTGGTAATGATTTTAACAGAGACAGAAGGCACACCGCTATTTAAAATAGTCAAATTTTAGAAATTCTCCCAACCTGGCCCAGTTTCCAGGACAAGTATTTCAGCAGGGAATGGAGAACCAAGTGCCCGGTCTCCCTCTCAACGGTGGGGCATTCAAATTGCAAACCTGGTGTCTGTCATGGATTGCAAACTTCAACATCAACGGGGCCAAGGAAGTAATATGAACAGGGAGACCCCAGGGAATGGAGGGACCTGGTGGCTGAAGGAGTCGACCCTGTCTGCACTCACCATCCTGTGGACTAAATAAAACACATGTGCACAACATGTGCACGTCATCACAGAGCACCAGCTGCACCGCCCAGATTCCTACGGGCACACACGGTAACCGAAGCAGGCATCACCATCTCTGCTGTCCACTATAATCAAGAGTAAGTGGCCATGCTTTGCTCATGCCTCGCTTTCACTAATTCAGCATCTTTATATCCCTTCTGAGAGAAATAACATAATACTTTTAAGAGGGTGTCTTCTGCCACATTTGAGAAATGCAGAAATTCTCAAAGTTGACTTTTTAACACTGGAATACAAATGGGGTTCAAAACAAAGGGCTCTATATGACTCCCAAAGCAGTCACATCTGGCACAGGAGTCCTGCTATTTAAATAGAAGTGGAGACATATAAAGAACTCCATCTAGGGGCCTTGTGATGTGACTGGGACATTCAGTGGTTCGGTACCCAAGTGGAACTTGGTAAATTTCATTTGTGGTGAAAATAATGAAAAAGCCCCAGAAAGTTTTAAGAAAGAACATACACACATGCATGCAAGCATACTTACTCACACACCCAAAAACGAGTGAACGGCTCCCAGTCAAGTACTTCTTGCTTGAACTGGGCTCTGCAGTGAAACTGAGCAATTATTTTTGCAAAGCAAAGTTAAATGTAAACATAAACAACAATGAGGTTTTTCAAGAGCCTTAGTGTTACTATCGTATGTTATCCAAATAATGCACTTCAGGATAGAGACCGTTAACGAGAAGAGCCAGGAAGCTTTTCCCATCTTGAAGACAATGTCCAGGATGCTTTATAAACTGGGCAGCTTGCAATATCTGATCCTGGTATTCAATATACTGCTTACTCAGTGTCATGGACTCAAGAGCAGCCAGGGCCTGGAAGATAAGTCAGACAAAAGGTTATACATGCACATCACCATCTGCCCCAGGTAGAACAGTCCTACCATCGTCATCTGGTTTCACCATGAGCCTCGAGGGAAGGAAGCCAAGAGAACCAGAGTCAGTTCAGAAGGCAGGCACTGATTAACCCAGACAGGAGGCCTGAAACCCAATCCTCTCTCCTTTTGCAGCCTCCTTTAGTGCTGTTATCTCCCTACCCTGTCTTGCCAAGAGCCACGGCAGCAGCTGGGCTGGTCTGACTGCCCACCAGCCAAGGCACTAGGTGCATCTCACTAAGGTGAGACCTGTGTAGCTGGCCACTGGATTGGTTCTAAGGTTGGAAAATAATTAATTATTTAATAATTAATTAAACTGGCTAATTCAATGAAATTCTAAAGAAAATAGCTAGGTGCTGCCACAGGTAAATGATATGAATCAGCCAACAAGCATAAAGTATAGGTCAGTTCCTTCCAATTCCACATAACAAATAGCACAGAGGTAAGGGGAGAAAATGTTCTTGGATCTCTCTTCAAAGAAATAAAATAAAGTTCTTTGGTTCCATAATTTTAATTTTTCCTTCCTTCATAGAAGGGAAGGGGAAGAGATTGTACATGAAGGAAGCAAAAAATGAGAGGAGTTCTTGGGGTGGGGAGTTTTGTTCTCCCACCACACAAACTCACCCACATCCAAGGTTCTGAAAGCATCTTCTCCCCAGTGGGGCACACCCACCCCTGGTCCTCCCTGTCCCATGGATGGAAACTGCAGCTTTGGAATTTGCTTGGTTCAGAAAACCAGGAAGAAGAATTTTATTTTTTTCTTTTGAAGCTGGTAAATGAACTGGAAGCTTAGAAATAAGTTACCAGGAAGGCTGTGTAGACAGAAATCTGTGGGTTGAAAGTAAACAACTAGGGATTTTAGTACCAAGTAAAGAGCTATGTGAACAGAGTTCAATTTAAGAACAGGAATCAAAGGGGACAAAACCAAGTGTAGTATTACATGTCTATAATTCCAACAGTCTGGGCGACTAGTGCAGAAGGATCAAAAGTTCAACTTTAGCGTGGGCAACTTAGCCACTTAATAAGACCTGTATCAAAATTTAAAAAGAGCAAGGGAAGTAGTTCAGCACAAAGACCCTCAGTTCACTCCCTCTACTGCCAAAATAATGGTGGCAGGGAGGAGGCACTCTCATGAATAATGTTTCTCTCCACCCCTTCCTCTTTTAAAATTAGCCCTCAAAATGTTCCACTATGATATCTTGCATAAGATTAATCATTTTGTAAAGGGATGGTCTTTTCCAAGTCTGAAAATCCCAATGGAAGTATGCAAGGGACACGCATAATGTCGTTACTTTGAGTGTGACTGATGGAAGGTAGGCAAAGAGGGGCCCGTGACTTGTGCGCACAGCTAAAGCAGGTTGCTGCTGCTGCCGCTCCAGGTCCTGGGGCCACAGGAAAGCAGAAGACTCCTCAACTACAGCCTGAAACGTATCTCACAGGCTTCCCCACCTGCCCTCTGAAGACTCACCCACATTCCCACAAATTACAGGGACGAGATCACTGCCACTTGTCCAGCCACGTTTTTAGAATAAACTGTAACTTCTCACAGCTACCATTTCGTTGGTGCTGGGTTATTCCAGACTGGTTAACATTCAGACTCACAAATCAGGCAACTATCTTCCAACAGAGAGAGCACACCAAAGAGAACACGACCATGCCATCAAGTGTGTAGGTCAGAACTGCCACCTCCCCTCCTTCCGGGGAAGGTGTGCTGGAAAACTGCTAACCCTTAAGTGTTAAGCTGCTTTTACTGACCTGCTGAGCTTTTGGGGTAAGATGTAATTCAGAGCCAGGCTTCAAACGGATTTGGTCTTCTGTAAGAACCTGCACTGAGAGGAAGGCAGCCATGCTTCGAGCAACCACCCGGAACCTGTCAGAGAGAGGTCAGAAGAAGCAAGTGACGGCTAAAGTAAGCATTTAAAAATAAAGTCTTTTCCATAAAAAAACAAAATAAGATAATGGCACTTCCAGATCTACCACATAGTCAGCCTCTTCAGAAAAATCAAGTAAGGAGCTAAAGGTGTAGGGAAGGTGGGATGGGTAGGGGAAGGGTAATAAGGGAAAAGAAAAAAATGTGAGATAATGAAAAGATGGAAATGAAGTGTTTGTAGATGGGGAGGGGAGGAGGGGGTGAAGGGAGGGCAGGGACAAGGGGAAAAAATGAGAACCAAGACCTGTCATGTAGAGGTACAAGATCCCAACGATGAATGTAACTGTACTGTATCCCTAAAATGTACCAATAAACTCAAGTAAAGCTGAAAAAAAAAAGAAAAAGAAAAACAAATATGATCCAAGAAGCAGCTTAATCTTCCCTTCCATCATTACCACCCCAAAAATGTGTACATAATTCAGATTCAAGAAGGAAAGTGTTGGCAAAGATGTGGAATGGCTGAAACCCTTACACATGGCTGATGGAAATGGAAATGGTGCAGGTGCTGTGAAAAATAGTTTGATATCTCCTTAATAAGTAAAACAGAGTTGTAACATGACCCTGTGATCAGATGTCCATCAGCTCATGGATGGACAAAATGTGACAGATGAACATGACAATATTATTCAGCCACTTTTAAATGAAACAAAGATGAACCTCGAAAACTTTATACTAAGTGAAAGAAGCCGGACTAGAAGCTACACACTATATAACTCTATTTTTATGAAATGTCCAAAGTAGGATTTAATACATAAAGTCATAAAGTCAATTAGTGTTTGTTAGAGACTAAAGAGAGAAAGGGAATGGAGGCGATTGTTTAATGGGTGCAGGGCTTCCTTCTGGGGTGATAAAATGTTCTGGAACCTGAGAGTGATACTTGCAGTACTGTGAATGTACTGTCTCTGAACTATACATATTAAAATGGTTATCATAGTAAATTTTAAATGATGCATATTTTACCACAACTTCTTAAAAAGAACAAAGGGACTCGATTCAAGCAAAACATACACAAGCCAAATTCAAGTGGAAAAATAAGAATCCTGCCAAATTTCACCATAAACAAAGAAGCATGAGGTTAACTGGTGTAGAATGAGTGGCTCCCAACCTGATAAGCTTTCCAAGAAGACTGATGTCAAAATTGTATGAGAATCCCTTTCAACACTGACAGAGGCTTGAAAATAAAACCATGACGTAGGCTGGGGATGTGGCTCAGTGGCTGAATATGTACTCAACATGCATGAGGTGCAGGGTTCGATAAGTAAGAGTGGGAAAAGAGAAGAGGGAAGAGAGAGAGGAACAAAGGAAAAAAAGAAAGAAAACCATGACATAAATATCACAAGATACAAGGATAATGACAAATTATTTCACACCCTGAGATTTTTAGCAACAAGACCTAGACTTGTTTCTTTTTACTTAATAATAGACCTCAGCACACCTTAATGACTTAGTGGTTCATTAGAGTCCCTCCCAAGTTCTGGAGGATTAAGTGCCCACAATGACACGGATGACTGACTAGAGTATTTTAACCTACCCATACACTCACTTTTTGGCTCAAAACCAAAAAGAAATCAGTGGTGCAGTCAAACTACAAAATCAAAATATAGGAGAAACTACTAAAACACACTGTTTAAACTTAAAAAATAAAGTGATTAAACAAGAAAAAAAATGGTATTTTGGCATACAGAGATATAATCAGGCTCCAGTGTTTCCAATGTCACATGTGAAGCCTACTGAGACCAGCAATAGGTACTCCTTACCTGTTGGACAAGGGTGACTTCCGGCCCAACCCGATTGCCCCCAGAATCCCCGAACTGAGCCTTTCCTCAGCCACAAGGCTCTGCCTGTTCTGAAGCATGAGCAGAATCCGGACAACAGATTCCGTCAGGACCAAGTCATTCTGCTCCATCTGAATCAGGGACAGCTGCAGGACTTGATGCCACCACAGAAACAGCTTTGCCTCTTCCTGTGAGGAGCTGGGGAAGATACCAGAAGAAATAAAATCAGAAGTGGATTTTTTCTGTTCGCATTTAACTGAGAGTCTGCCCTGGAGTTTGATATAACGACAACACTTAGGACTTTTAAAGCCTAAGTTGTTTATTTTTATTATGAGTTTCTCATATAAGAGACCAATATGATATTTAAGCTTGTGTATTTGATCTCTCTCACTTAACATTAGGGTCTCAAGATGCATCCCTTTTCCTACAAATGACTCAAGTTTATCTTTCGCACAGTGGTACTCTGGTGTGTAAATACATATTTTCCTAATCCATCCATCTGTTGATGGACATAAGGGCTGCTTCCAAGATTTAGCTATTATGAGTTGTGTTGCTATAAACAAGGGTGTGCATGTATCACTGTAATATGATGTCTTTAACTCTTTGGGGAAGATACCTAGAAGGGAAATAGCTGGGTCAATTGGAATTTCTAGTTTAGTTGAGGAATTCCAGATAAATCATTCTCAAAGGGGAAGATGATCAAGGGACGGAGGAAGGGATAAGGAATGAAATTAAAGAATGGGAAGTTATGTATATGTATCAACTCCACACAAGGAATATAAACATTATATATTACAAACATGAACAAAAAAAAGAAAAAAAGAAAGAAAGGGGATCAGGGAAGGGAGAGAAGGGAAAAGGGATGAAAAAAAAGGAATTAAGATTTGTTATGTACATGTACCAACTTCTCACAAATAATGTAAACATTATATACTACACTCATATACAGTACTAATTTAAAAAAAGCCTAGGATGATGATGTTAATAAAATGAATTGTCACAGCTACCATTTATCAAACACTTACTCCATGCCAGATACTATGTCTTGGCTTTATGTTCAAAAATTTCACTTTATTCGCATAACCCTAGGCTAAGGATTATTCTCTCTACTTAACATAGAAAAACTGAATCTTGGTGATTAAAAAAATGCTTGTTTTAGAACAGTAATGGTGAACATTTTACAGCTTTCAATAATATAAACAGACCACCGCAGCACATGTACCATAGGTTTGCCACTATTTTAGGACATAAAGAAATCTGCTCAGAAAATTAGCCATCAACCTAAGAATCTTTCCTAAGAACAAGTATCACTATACACCACAGTCTTGTTAGTTTTTCATGTGTCACCTGGTTCTGTGCCCTTACATATATATACACTGTACCTACCTAAACCCCCAAAGTCCAAGTTAATCGAACACAAGTTTAATACAGCAGCCAGCAGGCCAACATACCTTGGATACACCCGTTCCAACCACTTGCCGAGGAGCAGCAACACTTTCATTTCATTCCTTAAAGTCTGTTCACTATTTAAACACTGAAGCAGGTAGACATACAGAGTCAAGTAACTGCCAAGTGCCAGGCACTCCTGCAGAAACTCTTCTATAGTGAGCTCGGGAACTTGAAGGGACACAAGGATGGGGCCCCATCCTAAATTCTGATTGAGGGAGCCTAAGAAAAGAACAAGACAGGAATCATAATACAAGCAAAAGTCTAACTGTTTAACAATGCTAATAAATCTTTCATGTTAAGACAATAATTCTCACAGTGTTCCTACAGACCACCAAAGTCAAATAAATCCTGGAGCTTCAAATCAAAAGCCTTCATATTGATGCCACTAGAGGGGATGAAGAAGTCAGAACGTGGGGGTGTGAATTTACAATCACCTTTCTCATCATATTATGATCATTAACATCTTTCACAGTGGTCATCTAATGGTTTTAATTTTAAAACTATTTTTAAGTATGTATAAACACACTCCTCCAAGGAAAACTGTTACCACTTGGTGCATCATATGTACTTTACTTACAAAGCTTAGCTCTTATTCTGATAGAAACTTTGATTTTTAGTAACACAAATTTAGGAGTATTATTCTAATGGTTCTTAACTTTTGGTGAGAATAAGTGTTGGGTACACTAAACATGCACAACACCTCCATGGGTGGACACAGATGGTTCATGGACAGTCCGGACAGATGGCAGGTTTTAAGTGCTTTACTGGATTCTTGCTCCAATATCCTTCGTTCTATCTGTAGTATGATGTGTATCTGGATATCAGAGTTGAGAAGGGCTGTTCTGAGCAACTTTTACTAATCAGACTAAGTTGTCTCAAGAGTCTGAGAGTTTAGAGGCAGAGGTAAGAAAGATAAAAGGAAGGGTGGGGCACAGGGGAAAGGGGCCCTGTCATATAGTTTAAGGAACATAAGAAACAAAAAGATTTCTATGAAAATTCATTTACTAGAAGTGACCCAAAGGAGGAAATTTAACACAGTGGATATTCATTACTATAGAGATCCTGGTATAGAACATTTACTTTGAGGACTAGGATTCTGCCTAGCAGAATAGAGATGGTCTGACATGCTAAACCCAATATAAAGTAACTTAAGCTCTTCTCCCTCAAAATGTGTGATTATACCAACAGACATGGGTCAGAGGTCTACATGCTAACTACAGATCTTTATGGGGAAAGAAAAAAAATGTATCCATATACATATATATATACATCTACATAGACATGTCTCCATCTTTCCCTGGGAAGTCTGGAAGGACACCTCCTGATAAAACTTTAATCTTTCCTAGGAATGACCAACACAATGAGAAGAAAAGATTGTATCCTCTTACTTTCTTTAAAGTAGGCAGTGATGCAGGCTTCTGTAATTTCTGCCATGTGGTGGACAGAAGCCAGGCTCTGGCAGGCTGCTGTTAAAAGGGGCAGCACCACAAGCCCATGGACTTTTTGGCCAATCCAGGTCCGGATACTGCACCGCAGGAACTCAGCTGTTGGGATGGTTGCATTGTTCATCATCATTAGCACTTCTATAAAGAGGCTGCTGAGGGCCATGTGGCGGGCTTGGCTGTCCATGTCTGAAGGGGAACACACATACACACACACACTCAAGCGGCTGGAACAGGATAGGAGACAACAGGGATGTAACCCTAAGGACAATGGTGCTCCTCTCTCAGTTGCTCTCCAGAGACCAGAAGGAAGACTCCAGGTGGTGTTTGGCTTTTATGGCCATATGGGCACACAGGCATTTTATAAGAGCAAATTACTAAAAGTCCCCTGGATATAGCAGTGTAACAGAAGAATACCTTAATCAATGCACATATATCAAGCTGGTGTGAAAAAGTAAACTTATCAGAACATGTCTAATTACCTTTATTTTCCAAGTTTTGCTGATGCAAAACCAAATACCTAGATTTCAGCAGTCAGTTTAGTAAACTAGTTAGCAACAGTGCCCCATCCCCTCCCTACCACAGCCACTGCCAAGACTACCAACACTGCAGGGTGATTTACTCAGAATCAAAATTATTACTTAAAACTAAACATAAAAGTCAGGAAAATCTTTTTACAGTTCCTAACAATAGCTCTTCTTGTCATTTTCTTTTTTTAAAGACACAGGGATCTATGTCGCCCAGGCTGGACCCAAACTCTTGGGCCTATACACACATGCCACCACACATGGCTATTTCTGTTTTTTAAATAAAAAGAGCAAATTCATCTCATGAGGACTGTACAGGAGGCTGTCAGTGAGAGACTCCTTCACACCCCAAAAGAAAATATGCATTACTGTGAGTTGTGATAGGCATAATTTTTGCCAACTATTTGCAGCTCTCCTTGAGTTAGGTACTAATCTTTTTTAATAGAACAGAGCTGAGGATTCAGTATTTATGTCAACAGGAATAATAAGAATTTGGGAGCTCTCACTCATCATATACATCAAAACAATGAATGTGTACATTCATTTTTTTCATATATTATGCCTTATCTCAATTTCAACTGAAAAGCAATTTAAATTTTAATTTAAGTATGACCCATAAGGAAAAATCATGGCAATGAGCCTCAAAACAGATCCCAGCCTGTTCATCATTCACAGGTCCAACAAATGTTTCCCTGAAACTATCTTATCCTCTACTCTTCTGACTAGTCTTTCTAGAACATTCTTACTCACTTTCCCTGGCCAGCTATTATTCACTCTACATGGCCCAATGACACATGACCATCTGCATCACTTTCTCCGGCACTGCCTGTGGTTCTTCTTTCCTTTCTTCCCTCCTTCACTCTCTTTCTCCTCACTCCCTCTTTCCTTTGGCCTTCCTTTATTCCCTTTTCTTTTTCATAATCTATATAGTATGAATTCTTGCTTCAAAACCACGTGAGTTAGTATTTATCAATTTTCAAAATTAATCTCTTTCCCTGCCACACAGACAGCTGGTCCAACATCAAGATGAGGAGAGGTAACTGTCTGCTCTCTTCTCACAGGGGCATGCTGATTTCTGGCTCACTGTTGCAGTAAAGATGGGAGAGCTCTGTGGCTTATGCATGGAATCTCCTTTTAGGCTCCTATCTGGGGAAGGCCGTGGGCCTCATCAGCTCTCCATAGTGTCCTCAGAAGGTGTAGGTGAAGCTAACCTCAGTACTTCATCTACCTTTATAGGCTCCTCCTTTTCACTCTGTTTCTGGTCTCTGAGACTAACCATTTTGCCATTCCATTGGTTATTTATTTATTTATTTATTTATTTATTTATTTAGGTTTCTTAAAAACTTTTTATCCAGCCTTCTTGGTTATTTTTACGAGAGAAGGCAGTCAGGGTATCTAGTCCACCAAGCTGCTAGCAGCAGAAATGCTCTCTATAAACTATCCTGACAAGACAACAGGTGATTCTAAAAGACTCACCTAGTTAAGACCAAATGCTAGGAAGGCTGCTTACTCAAAGGTCTCCTATTATCCTCTCATCATTAAATCCAGTCATCCTGTTTGAACTTCAGTCCAGGTCACCTCACACCAGCGTCTCCCAGAGTCAACCCCTCCTCAAGTTCTTAACATTCATGCCTTCCCCCAGGGTCTGAGTGTCCTGGGTCCAAAGAGCTCTGACTACCACTGCTTCTCTGGACACAGGAAAGACAGGGTCTTGCCCATCTTACCCATCCACAATGCTCATACATGGCAGAAATACACTGCATAAATACATGACTTCCCATGCGTCACTTACCAGGTGGATTAAAGACAATGATATCATCTAAGAGCTTAGACATTTCTTGCTCTAGGACTGCAAAGGTGATTTTTCCATTTTGTTCCAGGTTGCTGAGGAATTGAACCATCTGATGAGTGAAAGCTTGGCATTTTGGAACTACATCCTGACAAAAGAAAAAGGATCATTCAAATGAATCCAAGAAAGCCTGACAATTGAGTGTACACTGGGAGCATGGTCCTGCACTGACACTTGGGTAAGGATGAGTGGGGACACATCAGGAAGCCACTCAAAAGCTTCATCCAGGTGGGCCAGGGGACCTGTGTTGGGGGATTTGAAAACCCATGTTCTCCCAGGTTCTGCAGAACATTCCCCCCACTCCTTTTTACTATACTGACAATGACACTAAGTAAACAATGATTGTTTTCCAGGAACTTTTCACAAAACTTATGTGTTCAACCCTCACAATATACTTTGAAGCAAAGTATTTTCAATTCAAAAGACAAAGCTAGGACCTACCCAAGGTCAGGATGGCAGTGAGTTGGGATCTGAGTATCGTCACTGTCCCTACCACTCTACTACCTGTGACATTCAGATAATGAAACTAACAGCCCACTACCAGGCCTCAATCTACTCTGATCTGATCAACAGGAGATACTTCTAGGAAGTGAAGCCTTACTAAAAGAAGGGAATCAAACAAAAGAGTCCAAGAGGCCAATATGAGCACATGATAGGCAGCCCTTAGCTTTCTCTGCAGAGCAGTCAGCAGGTCTGACCCAGTAGCACTTATGGGGCTCCAAGTCCTAAAGAATGCCCCCTGCCTTTCGAACCACCCTCTCAACTTACAAGATGTTTCTGGCCCTCAGTATGAATGGAAAGGCCTGCAGCCACTTTCAGGAGCTTCACAATCAATTCAGCAGCAGGTTCTTTTGCCAGGATGATGGATGGAGGGTAGTGACTGCTGAAATAACCCAATACACTCTGGTATGACACAATATCCACAAGGTGCCATGAAAGTGAGCTAGTTTGTCCAAGGAGACTAAGCAAAGGTGAATCCTAAAAACAAAACAGTGTGAGATTGTTAGATTGATAGTCACTGTTAGATTGTTTTAGTTCCAGAGCCCTTAATTTCCCCAAATGTGTCTCTAGTCTGCGAGAAAACCACTAAGCTGGCCTATAATAAGCACAGAACAGTTACAATGTCAAGTAAATTAAGTTAGCACTAGTGAAAGCAAAAACCAAAATCAAGGCAAAAGCACATTAATATTAAGATCTGAAAGTATTTGGAACCCAATTTTCAAAGGAATTCTGCTCTGGTGGTACATATCAACAATGATCTCAAGAACAACACAGTACATTAAAGTAGGAATTACTGAGATGCAAAATAAAGTTTATGAATATATTCTAACTCTGTGGGGTTCTCTTCGTAAGTCAGGCCCAGGCAATGGGCTATCCAAGAGAAGCAGGGTCTAGCTGAAGGCACACCTCATATGCCAAATGTCTATTCATACTGACAGAGGTGCTGGGGAAACAAATGAAAACCACAACCTAGGAGAAAGTGAGGAGATAAGAAGCCAAGTCTGACAGCAAGCTCCCCAAACTTACTGTTTGGTCTACTAGCTGAACTTCCTTTGCCAGTAGAATCATCATGAACAGAAGGCAGACAATCATGCGTTGAGTCTCGGGCTGGGGACTAGGACTCCAGGCATCAGACAGCACACTAACCCAATTGACTTCACAGAGTACAGACCCGAAAAACAAGAAACAGCTCTTGGGGCTTCCTCGTTCCACCTAAACGGAAATGCATGGAAATCAGTGTTTTGTTTTTGCTGTTTAATGTATCTTGAAAATGTGTATTAATCAATGTTTCATAAATTATACTTTATAAAATTGTTTTCTCAGATTATAAAAATTATTCATAATCCTTCTAGACACAAACATTTGTTGCAACTTTCATGTTCAAGTGTATATGTACATTTTTGAGCTAGCCCATTTGGATTTCAGTATCTGCTCCAATAATTTAAAATAAAAGAAGAAAGCCCTTCCTAATCCCAATCCAGGCGGAGATTCCCTGGCAGAGTGAATCACTGAGCTGCAGGAGTGTCAGAGTCCTAAGCTGCGCTGGCACAGGACAAAGGTGGAGCTTTAGTGGTCTGTAGTTCCTGAAGGTGGGTGTGCATCAGAACCACTGGGAGGACAGATTGCTGGGCCTGCCCCTAGATATTTCCCAGGTACAGGCTGAGAGCAAGAAATCCCAAGGCAAGGCTCATTTTGATGTCCATGAGACCTCACTTGGAGAATTGTATATTACTTTAAAACTTATACAACCTTTTAAACTCAATATTATACAAATGTTTCCACGTCATTCTAATCATTAATGAATGCATCAATGCTTAAATTTTTTTTTTTTGAGATAGGGTCTCACTATGTAGTTGACCTAGAACTCACTATGTAGCCCAGGCTGGTCTCAAACTCACAGTGATCCTCCTGCCTCAGCCTCCTGAGTGCTGGGATTACAGGCGTGTGCCACGACACTGGGCCAATGCTTAAATGTTAGAACATTTTGTGGGGTATATTATAAACTATATATCAATCTTCAAGTTATATTTTATAAGCTTATTTCAATATTTCTAATCTCTTTAAAATAAAACATGGCTAAGACATTTTTTCCTCTAAAAATGAAGATTAATGGGCTGGGGATATAGCTCAGTGGTGCCACACCTGCCTGGCAAGTGCAAGGTCCTGCGTTCGATTCCTGATGACAAAAAAACAAAAGAGTAAAAGCTTTACTATGCTTACAAATTTACAACGAAACTTGGTGACAATTCATGCCTTCCTATTACTATATTATATTGATACTAATTATCTTCCCTTGTAGAAAATGATTCTTCATCCTCTTTTATAATCTGTTCTCTATCCTCACCCTCAGCTTTGTCAAAAAATTTTTATCTTAGTTCATGAACTTAACTCTTTCCACAATTCTTTTTTTGATAGGGTCTCACTATGTAGTCCAGGCTGGCCTTGAACTCACTGGGTAGCCTAGGCTAGTCTCAAACTCAAGGCAGTCCTCCTGCCTCAGGCTCCCAAGTGCTGGGATTACAGGCACACACCACCATGCCTGGCTCCACAATTCTTATTCAAACCAAATTGGATAAGAACCAAATCAAATTTCCCCATAAGGTCAACACTGAACTTGACCACTGAATCTAGATTGTGACCAGAACTGTGGAAAGAATTAAGTTCATGAACCAGAGTATCACTGTATGTAGGTAGATAGGTATGTATGTATGTATGTATGTATGTATATATATATACAACAAGGCACAAAAAATTTAAGATTCCAAGGTTTGGGCAGGTCAGGGGCATCCACCATTAGTATAAAATCCGTAGAGACAGAGTCTACAGCATCCCTTGCCAGACCAATTCACTATTTAATCAGTCTTATAGTGAAGGTCACCTTCTTACTTAGTAGAAACCCAATATTATAGCTCTGTAAGCCAGCTTTCATTTTCATAATGGTAATTAAATATCTACTTAGTGCCTGACTTATTTACTAAGCCTAGTTATAAAAACACTCTGAAATTTTCTATTTCTCTAAAACAACTGCTCTCAGCTTCCCTTGAGCTTGGCTACAGAGGAGTAGGACTGGGTGAGGTTTCACGAAAGCACTTAAAAAGCTTAGTACATTTTATTAATCATCATAAATAACTGTAGATCAATTAAACTTTAAGGTGTCTCAATAATATGACTTTAAGACTGAACACAAATCATCTGATGACTGATGGGACAAATGAACTGAAACTAACATAAAATCCTAAGTCACGAGTACTGAGAATTTTTTAAACAGAAACTAAAAATGACAAAACCAGCTCTAAATGCCTGACTGGTATATAAATTACACTGCAATGCCTGTTTTTGTAACTACTGCTTTTACTGAAGACTCAACACATATACTTATCGCACTTTTTTCAGATCATTTTCGTTTTTCTATAATCACAATGCATTATTTGTGGTTACAATGTATTTTATTGCCTATAATCTAATCATTCACTCCTATAACTGCTAAAAGAAACTAATGGCTTGAGTACCCATTCACATTTTTGCTTCAGCAGAACATTTAACAAGTAGTTCAAATGGCACTAGGAAAATATGTCTAGGCAATGGCTGACCTTTATATGACAAAATCTTAGGCTATAACGCTAAGTGAAATGAATTAAACACAGAAAGTTAAATAGTGCATACTTTTTCTTATATGAGAAATGCAAAATATAAGTAATTTAAAGAGCAAAATAAAAGACAGATGATAGGGAACAGGTAGATTTTGTGGAGATAGGAAGAGATTGGAAGATGGGCAAGGCAAAGCAAAGGAAAAATGATTTAAGACATGATGTGTATGTAACAATTCCCCAAGATGAATGTAATTACTATGTATTACAAAGATATACTAATAAAAAAAAGAACAAAAATATAAAAGACATAACATTTCTCTGGGTTTTAAAATGGTGAGGTAGATGTTTTCCAGTCATCCATTAACAAACAAAATGAAGTTATTTCCACAGGCTGTGACTTTCCCCAAGTGCCACTGAGTTGGCATGGAATGTGTGCACAGCCCAACTTGGCACAGATCGTCCCCGTGCAGAACTACCAGGGTGAACAGGCTGCTCCCTAGAAGCAGGTCTCTAGGCTGTGACAAGAGGGTGAAGGGCTCACTTTGAAGAAAGCCTCCATGAGCAGCTGGTCAGGATGCAGATCTTTCCACTGGAGCTTCCGGTAGGCACTATGAAAAGCATATAGAATGAACTCTGGCATTTTGGGTGCTGTACATGCCTCACAGTAATGCATCAGGTGCAGCCAAAGGGCTCCTTCATCGCCTGGCAACAGTTTGTCTAGAATTTAAAAAGAAAATGAATATGAATATGAAAACCATTGGTTCATATATTTGCTATGGACAGATGGACACATTTTTTTGAGAAAGGGTCTCGTTATGTTGCCCAGGCTGGCCCTGAATGTGTGGTGATCCTCCTGCCTCAGCCTCTTGAGTGCTGGGATGACAGGTGTGTGCTATCACGCCCAGAAAGATTTTGTTTTGTTTGTTTGTTTGCTTTTTTGAGACAGGGTCTCACTATGTAGTTGAGACTGACCTGGAACTCACTATGCAGCCCAAGCTGGTCTCGAACTCACAGTGATCCTCCTGCCTCAGTCTCCCAAGTGCTGGGACTACATGCGTGCACCACCATGGTCTGGCAAGATTTTGTCTTTTAAAACGAAGCTATTACAAAACGTGAATTTGAACTCAAAGTCTAAAATCTAAAGTTCTCAACACTTACCTAATTTCAAGGACTTTCATGTACAGGAAAGGAGGAACAGTGGCAGATTAATAAAGATAAATACTTTACATAGTCAACTTTGATGAGCCAGAAGTTGTAAGACAGCTGATAAGTAGTGGTGATGAGCTTTCCTTAAAAACTCCTAAATATATGGCTTTTTAACTCAAATACATTTCTACAGACTGTTGCCTGGCGTATGTATTGCCTCATGCATTTAGTGCTTCATTCATTTAGCACCTTGGAGGAACCTAATATTCCTCAAAAGGAAATGATTTAGACATTTCTCAAAAAATGACAAAGCAGGGGCTGGGGATTTAGCTCAGCAGTTTGGTGGCCTGCCTTGCAAGCGCAAAGACCCGACTTCAATCACCGGTACCAAAGGAAAAAACAAAAAAATGACAAAGCTGGGCATGGCGTTATATGCCTGTAATCCTGGCTATTCAGGAAAATGAGGCAGGAAGATCAAAAGCTCAAGGCCAGCCCGACAAACTTAGTGACACCCTGACTTAAAGTAAAATATGGAACTCAGTGGCAGTGTCTCTTAAGTTTTATCCCCAGTACCTGAGAGGGAAAAATACAAATATATACACACACACACACACACACACACACACACACACACACACATACACACACACAAATGGTCAATAAGTACTTCAAAAAATACTCAGCAATCACTGATCATTACACAAGATGCGTGCTGGAGAAGATTCAGAGAAAAGGAAACTATTACACATTGTTGGTGGGAATGTATATGGTAGAGCCACTATAAAAAGCAACAGGGAGGTTCCTTAGAAAATTAGGGATGGGCAATATCTGATGAGTGAATAGTTATAATTAATTTTTCCATACCTGACAAATATAGAGTAACTTCACAAAAAAAGATAAGAGGTTACAACCTCAGTAATAATTTTATCAGTGACCTTTCTTCAATCACAGGTAACTATCTACCAACTAAAATAAAATAGGAAAGCAAAGGTACGATCATGACTGAAGGACTACGGGAAAAAAAATGAATATTAATCAGAGACATAAATACATCTCTCTACCTTTAAAATTCTCATGCAGTAAGTCGACACAGTCAGTGAACAACTGCACAGTGCTGGAGGCCACCACAGCATCACTCTCCAGCCAGGGGTAATGCCACTGCTGACTGCTTTAAAGGAAAGAAACATGCTTAGAAATAGAAGTCCTAGGCCAGAGTCTAAGACAGGCAGAGGTTCCAGAAAACACTGTTTTAAGTGGCCCTATTACATATTTAGAGCACTTCAAAGGCTTTAAATTCCTGGAGGCAAACTGTATCATGTAATGTCAACCACATAATTTTATTTCTTCTTTCCTACCCTATGTCCCAGTGTGATTAAGTTTCAGAAGAGTGCTACCTAAATAACCTGAAATTAACATCTTTTTACATCCAATTTATACCTTGGTTATATTTCAAACGACTTAGAAAAATACCATACAGTGTCTTCAACAGTTTTCTCTATCCACAGCCTAAAATAATAAATAAACTCTATGTAACAAGAAGATGGCCAAAAATTTAACAGCCAAGAAATAATCAAAGATATTCTCTACATGAAAATTTAATTTTTGAATCTGGTCTACCAAATCTAATATCAAAATAAGTTCCATTAATTTTCCTTGGAAATAAGTACCCTGTGCTGTGATCAATCTGCAGTCACTGCAAAATGCTGAAATTTGTACCTTATCTGAGGACAGCCCTCTTACTAAAAGCAAAGATCCAGAACCTTTCATATTTTCCCTAAAGGGCTCTTAAAGCAGCATAGGTTTATGCAAAGAGTCTTGAAACGGAGTCAAAGACCTGAGCTTCAGTCCCAGCTTTGGCACTATAAACAATCTGCTGAGAGACCAGTTACATATTCACAATCTTCGAGCCTTAAGATAAAATTACTGTTTCTGGAAACACCTTGTAAAATCTGATTTCTATCACTGTTGTAATTTTTATAAAACTCTTGACAGGTTCATCAGTTTTTCTTTGTATACTTTCAGAGAAAAAGCACTCACTGGGTGACTCAGTACATTTAGATAGCTCTATTTTAAGTGCTCATGAAATAGTTTTCATTTAATTGCACAGTTCCAAGTTTAAAAGGTTATTTTCCACCCAATAATCCGATAGTCAATTTAGTTCCCCAAAATAATTGAGCTAGTGGGAAAATTTAAGCAAGTTTCCTAATTTGTAGTATTACATTATCAAACCTTACAAAGACCTCAGTAGTATAGCACCTGTTTTTTCTGAAATAAAGTACCAAAAACATTCAACTTCTTTATTATGGAAAACTGGAAATGAATGTCCCATTTTCTTCTAAAATTAATATCATGATACCTCTGTTCACTAAGCTTAATAATTTCATAAATAGAAAATGTGTTAAGTTTTGTAAATAAGCATTCTAAGTGTGTATACAACCTGTCACTAGAAATTGTATCTATGAATTCACTACCTTTACCAAAAATCATTAGAACTTTAAGTAAATAAATGTCAAAGAAACTCAAATTATCTGAAAAACTATTTACCTTTCACTGTCTTCTAAAACCAGGATCCATGGCTTAAAGAGCTGGATGATAACCGAATGTAAGAATCTCAGCACTGAAACAGCAAAAGTTTTAGAGACAAGAAACAAGCTCATCTTTTGTCAGTATCATTGATAATATTTTATTTAAAAATTTACTTCTTATATACTCATAAATCTATGTTAACACACAAACAAAATACTTAGGATAAGTATGTATTTTCATTTGCTGCAATAAATTTGAATTATAGCATTTTTATTTATTACAACACAATGTTAGGGGAATTTTATAACATTATAATATAAATGCTTAATATTCAGAACCTTTTTCTTAGCAAAGTAAACAAAAGAAGAAAGATTCTTTGCACCACACGCTGCAAAGGAGGGGCAAGCATCCTGCCTTCACTAAGTAATGAATAAAGCCATGACATGTGGACTTGCACCTTACTATATATTTTCTATTGCCTTTCTTTGATACTTGATATAAATCTTGTAATATTATTTATTCAAATCTCTCCTAATGGAAAGGCAAAACACCCTGGTCCATGTTGCAAGAGAAGTGTGCTACCTGGTTTGCTGCTAGCAGATGGGTCATGAGACAAGGAGGCCATTTCTGCGTCAATCAACCTTTTGACAAGATAGCCCAAGAGTGTCTTCACATGAGCCATGTAAGGATTCCATTTCGAGAATAAACCAAAACTTTTAAAATCCAACTTAGATAACCGAAGCTTATAGAAAAAGTCTGAAAGCCACTGTATGGTCTCCATTATCTGAAAGAGATAACCAATCCAAAAATGCTTACTGACTGTCTACTTTTAGCACAGTATGAAAGACTATAATAAGAATATAGCAGGCCTTTCTTTGACTTTTTAAAGTTAATAAATATTAATTGGGCCAGGGATTTAGCTCAGTGGTGCCACTGTCTACCTCGCAAGCAGTACCAATAAATAAATAAATAGACAGATATTAATTGTAAAAATTAATGAGTTTCATGTGACATTTCCATGTATATATACAAAGTGGCTTAATTATGCACCCTCCCCTCTACACTCTTTCTCCTCTCTTCACCTTTAAAAGATGTAAAAACAAAAACCATGAAAAATAAATCAGCAGGTTTAAAACTCCTTCTCTAGAGCAGTACAACCTTCAAATAATCCTTATATGAACCCACAGAAGGTAAAACTGGTAAACTCGGGGGTCTGAGAGATACTGCAGTGGTCTTAGGTAAGTCAGGTGGGCTGAAGTGGGTACGGAAGGTTTACTCAGGTGGAGCCCCTGGCCTTATCTTGGACAGCTTGGCAAGAAAAAGGCTCAGGATTATAAAACAAAACAAGGCAATCCAGACAAAGGGGATATAAGGGTAGCAAAAGACTGACAAAGAAAATCACAGGGTTCTTAAAAGATAATGCACAAAAAGTAGCTCTGTGAATAGAGTATTATCCAAAAGTAGCTTTTAAAAATACTTTAAAATGTGTTCTGTTTTAAAAAACAAACAGCAAGGGAAATGGAAACATTCAAATACATTAGCACTCAAAAGCTATGCACCTGCTTGTCGGACAGGAGAACATTTGAAGAGCCCTGAAGCATGGCCCTCTTGGCAAAAGCTGCCTCCTGCTGGAAGCTTGGGTCGCAGCAGCCCAGGGCTCTCAGAGTGGCTTTCCAACACTCAGGGCTCAGCAGCTGCTCTGCAGAGCCTAGGGAGCAAGAACAAAGCGAGCAAGTCAGCGTCTTTCCAAAATTAAATTTCTCTACTTGAATCAAAGAACACATGATTCAACACAGTAATAATTACACACAAATCCAAACCAAACTCATAAGAGTACCTTGGGTAAGAAGATCAAAGTAAAGAGAACCCGTTAAAAGAAATGATCAGGTGGCTATTTCACTTGCCTTGCTTCTGGTAAACTGGGTTGAAAGTGAGCTCTGCCAAAGCCACTACAGCTAGAGTCAGGTGGGAAGGCTACCCTCTAACACTGCCTGAAGAATGAGAAAGGAGGGCCGGGGATTTAGCTCAGTGGTTCCAAGTGGAAGGACCCAAGTTCAATCCCCAGTACCATTAAAAAACAAAACAAAATAAAAAAACAGAATGAGAAAGGTGTTGCTTTCCTGGCTGGAAGGTAACAGCTGTCTATGACTATGACAGAAACAACAGTAACACCACAAGGGATCTAGGTACAGAACACAATTCCAGAATCCAGCCTCTTGGGAAGGAGTCTCCCATCAAAACCAAAGGCCAAACCTAAACCAAGACCCAGAGTCAGCATGTGGAGATTACCAGCTTACAGTCCAAGTAGTCCCAACTCTGCTACTTATAAACTTCACATCCCACAGGGTAGAACAATACCTCTCCCTAAAGTGCTTCCCAACCAGACATGACATAGGAGTCAAACAGGACAACAGAAGTCCATAGGAACAGGTCTGAGAGGAAGACTATGAGGCCAGCTGCAGTAAGTAAGGTAAGAGGCATCTAGGGGACAGTGAAATGTCCAATGGCTACTATCGTCTGGATCACAGGGCAGAGGCCTGAAATCAAGCTACTGGTGTGGGAGTCACCTAGACCTAGAAGGTGGAAGAGATCTCAGAGAAAATTGGTTCATTCACAAAAATGACTAGGTAGAAGGACTAAGGATAGAATCCTGGGAATTCCAACAAGGGAGTAGGATAGGGAAGAGAAGCCAGAAGGGTGGAAGTCATAAAATCTAAGAGGTATAACACTGTTATTCTTCAGCTTTTAACTACTTTTCTGGTAAGTTAACATACAAGTCAATGGTAGCCTACATAAATAGCTTACAATCTCTTTAAACCATTTCAGAGAAGAACCCACAATACACATTTGATCAAATTTTGAAACTGTAGAGTGAATATTAGCTACATAACAACCTTCATTAAAATTTGTACAAAAGAAAAAAGAAACTTGTACAAATGTTTTTCTCTACCACCATTCTCTACCTACTCTGCCTTTGTAGGAAATAATTAATTAAACATGTCTTTGTAGAAAATAATTAAATCTTGAAATGCTTTGAAAATGGGAGACTACACATTTCAGGGTCCTTCAGGTGACCCAACACAATGGATCATTAACTTATCCATTAAATAATTTCTATTAAGTAATAAAAGACTTGTTAAAAAGCAAAACTAAGTTTTCCATTACATCTAGAAGCAGTTAAGAAGTTGTTGGCATGAAAAACAGTAAATATCTCATTGTACAAAGTTCAATAAAATTATAGCCTAAATGGGCCAGGGATTTAGCTCAGTGGTTCCGGTGCCTGCCTCACGAGCACAAGGGCCTGAGTTCGATCCCTGGTACAAAAAAAAAAATATATAGCCTAATGAAATTCCAAAAATAAAAAAAGCCCTAGATGCTTTATTCTTCCTCTCATCTTCCAATACTCCTATGGAAAATTACAGAAAGCCAAGGACAGAAATGGTGGGAATGCAAAAAATTTAATGTAGCAAGAACAGTCCATTATATGAGGACTAAATACATGTGCAAAAACAAGTTTAAAACATTACATATGTGGCAGGGGCATGATCCAAAGTTTGTCCACCATTTGGAACTACAGATAAACCTAATGACACAGTAAAGGCATCTTCTCTCTCCTTGTATCTCTCTCTCTGTTGTCTGTACAGAAAGCAAGTCCTTACCTCACTTCAAGACAGCTGTACAGGTAAAAAGGCGATAGCAGGATGTGGACTTAGCACTGTCTTCAATCAGGGCCCATTCCAGCATGCAGGACTATTACTGACCATTCTTACAAATGTCAACTTCATCAAGTTCTTTAGGTGAGGATGAGTGATTTCTAACTTTTTTAATATTGCATATATTTTTGGATGATATCTTTAATGGTAAATATGATATTAAATACTCCCTATAATCTACTTAGCCACGATTAAATGAAGACACTTACTTTGCATCAGCAGCCTGAGAACATCACTGTACTGGTCAGGGAACTGGTAGAGAAGAAGGTAAGTCCAGTGCTTACAGAAAAGATTAAATGGCATCAAAATATCCTCATCTGGTTCCAGGCCCCAGGCAGTAAGTGCCAAATGAATGGACTCCAAAAGCCTGGTACGATCAGACAGAGGAGGTTTAGTGGTGTTTAACCATTGCTTAAGATCGAACTAAAAAGAAAAAGAAACAAGAAGCAGTTTTATTTACACTAGAAAATTAAATGAAGTAGAGGTCTGTGCAAATTTACTTCAAAAGTCCAAGATTAGTTCACATTTACCAATCTATAAAAATGGAAACTAAAATGTATGCACAAGCACAGGGAAGAATACCAGAAGTTCACTAATTGGCGCCAATATGCAACCATCTCTACTTTACTGTCTGGGGTCTCAGAGGCTCGTTTTTGTAATATAAAAATCTTAATGACCATTCTTTTTTTTTTTCCTGGTACCAGGGATCAAACTCAGGACCTCGCACTTTTGAGGCAGGCGCGGCACCAACTGAACTAAATCCTCGGCCCGCTGACCATTCTTTATTGGTTCACAATTGTATTCTGTTACTGAAAGATACACACATTTCTACCTAATAGTAATGTTCCTCTCCAAGCCCCAGATCAGAGCTTACAGTTCGCCTTTACTGGTCATAGCACCATAACCAGGCAGCCACTTTATAGAACTTTCTTGATTTAACAGCCATGTTTTTGGCTGCATCATTTTCTGGCCTCAGTTAAGAAAAATTCAGACTGTTGTATTACTCCAGAACCCCAAACTATAAAACATGTTCTCCTGCATTATAGATTGAGATCAATTTCTAGGCTCTAAAAAATGTCAAGATTTTATTGCTTCTTAAGTATCAGAGAAATACAATGGAAGATAAAATAGGTAAGGCTCTGAAATTTTCAACTGGTTGAGTAAATCCATTGTCTACTCTAACAAACTATTCTAATCAGAATTAAGACAGACAATGTGTTTATATCTGGCTTATTCTAAATGTAAGAGACCTGACGTATTACAATTTATTTATCACACGTATTTTAGGTACAAATTCAGATAAAATTAAAAGAAAAATGTAATAAACTACTATTATGAATATTTTCAAATCTGTACTAAGTTTTAAAAGAGGTCTTGGGAATACTATGTGGACTCTGCTTATCCTACACAATACAACCAGAGTTCTATGCCCAAAAAAAGAACCCTGTGGGGTGAATCAGGCTACCTGAAGATTATGTGAAAATGAAAAAGGCCTTTCAGCCTGAGGTCATCAGGAACCAAGCCTCAAGGGTCCCTTCATTATTATGGCATGGGAGGCAACAATCACTTTTGTGTTCTCTGTTTCACAGCATTGGGATTGAATCACCTCTTACCTTGGTTAGCAGCATAAAAATCATGTCACTATTATCCTCACTTAGAAACTTCACCACTTTCTCATACAGCTGTATGAACACTGCAGGTGCAGCATTGGGAGTGAAGAAAGGAGACAAAAGAGAGCAGAGCCTTCTGTTCTTCAGAATGGTCTGAAGTACCTTTTTGCATTCTGATTTAGTGCCACTGATAAACACCTTGAAAAATGAGGGAAAATGTCACCAAATCATCCCCGTCCACCACCTTTATGTAAACAATTTTTTACTAAAAAAGGTGAATTTCCTCTAAATGAAAATATGAAACAATCAAGAAATATACAATTAACATAGATAAACCTATCACTTCCAATGTAAATAACATAAAAACTCCATATAAATTATTTGGACAAGCCATATGTACATAATTATGAGTTCTCATCTTAAGATAGAAATGGTATCAACTAGTCATTAGGAGGATGAATTATAATGCACTAGAAGTACTTTAAAATAATAAAGTGCTTTGGTAATAATAATAATACTATTATTATTATTATTATTATTATTATTATTTTGGTTCCAGGGATCAAACTCAGGACTTTGCACTTGCAAGGCAGGTGCTGTGCCATTGAGCTAAATCCCCAGCCCTGGTAATGTAATTATTAATGCCAAGAATGTATGACAGAATCTTGATGTCTCTCCAGACTTCTAACTACAGATAATTAAATATTTCTTGAATGAGAAGCAGTGTTCTATACCAAAAATTCTAATTGTATCTTAAGAAGCCAACAATTCCAAGGGGCTCTGACTTAGGCAAGACTCTTAACCTACAATACAATTCTGAAGTCAATTAAGACACTGCAGGCATTAATTGTATTTGAATAAGACTAACAACACAGAATAACCTTACCTGTCCCAAGATCTCAATGCATGAAGTAAAGAACTGTCTTGTGGGAGGATGGCGCTGCGTTTCATCACTGACATATTCTACAACAGTAAAGAAAAGGCCAATGCCAACTTTCTGAATCCCAGGTGTTGGCTGCAACTTGTAGGCATTCACTAAGGCACTGTGGGAAAACAGTGAAAAAAACCTATATTCAGAGGTGTTTCTTTGATGCCCTACATTTTTCAGACAATAAATATTTGTTAAGAGTCCTCAGAAGCTGGGCGTGGTGGCGCACGCCTGTAATCTCAGCACTTGGGAGGCTGAGGCAGGAGGATCACTGTGAGCTAGACCAGCCTGGGCTACATAGTGAGTTCCAGGTCAGTCTCAACTACATAGTGAGACCCTGTCTCAAAAAAAAAAAAAAAAAATTCCTCAGAGCCCTATGCAAATGTCACTTTAGAAATATTTCATATGGTAAATGTGTGTCTTCCAACTTTATCCAACAATTCACTTTCAACAAACAGTAATGATTTTACATTCCTCCAGGAAAAACAAAAATCAGCTGTGTTATAAATACACGTATTAAAATTTTCCACATTTTCTTTGTAATTTGGTTATGTAACTTTTTATATTTCTTATATAATACATATTTTTAAACACAAGAACAATAATCTCTAAATTTTAAAATCTAAAACATAGCTGAGGCTGAAGAAAAAGATTTTTGTATAATAAGGCTGTAGAATAAAGATGTCCCTTTTAATTCTCACACTTTTTTGAGTGACTTTCCCAGTGACAGAAATATCAACCTGTAGTTCTCCTGATCTGCTCTTACACCCTGAGTCCCCCATTGCAAGCCACAAAAAGATCCAACACCCCCGCAACACACACCACCACAGCTGGCAAACTTTTTCCAGCAAAGGGCCAAACAGTAAATGTTTTATGGTTTGTTAAGACTGTCTGTCACAAACAGTCAACGCTGTCATTGAAACTTTAGCCACAGACATTATAAATAATGGAGATGGCTGTATTCCAATAATATTTATTTATAAAAAGAGGCAGTAGGCCAAATTTGGCCCAAAAGCCATAGTTCACTGATTTTTGTACTAATTATTAAGTGTCTGAGATAGCAGGAAGTATAGCAATATGTACAATTACTATTAAGGATAAAAGAGTATTTCAAATTAAAATACTGTCAAAACTTACGTAATCAAATTTTCTGCATGCACAGCAGCTTCCACAATAGTAAGTGAAGGTGGCTTGGCAGCTTCGGCTTGCAACTGCTTCACTTCTTTCCGTAAAACATGAAGCTGTTGGCTTACCGCTTCATTTTTATACATGCCTTCAAACTAACAAAGATTGAGGAGGTCAACAGATTTCCTTTCCCCTCCATGCTTCTACTGGAGGTATCTTATTACAAACACATATAAGGAAGAGATGATTACACTTAATATTCTAACTTAACTCAAAATTCTCAACTAGACCTGAGAGGGAAGCAAAAAAAAAACTGTCAAAAAAAAATCACTGAAGAATCTTAGGTTTTCTAATAGGAGTAGAGAGAAAGATCACTCTCAAAGGGGAAAGAGGTCAAAGGACGGGACGGGGGAATGAGGAGTGAGAAAAAGGAATGGGGTGCATTACGTACACGTACCAACTCCATGCAAGGAACATTATGCACTACAAAGAGAGACCCAAATAAAGAGAAGGGGATCAAGGGATGGCAGAGAAGAGAGGGAGGGAAGGGAAAGGAGATGAAGAAAGGAATTAAGATGTGTTTTATACGAGTACCAACTTCCCACAAGGAATGTAAACATTACACAGCACACACATGTACTAATAATCGAAGAATTTTTTTTACAGAATCAGGTTTTTCCTGAAGAATTCTCCTTAAACAGAATTATTTTTTTACAAAAAGACCAAAATTTATAGACATAAATTGATATGATCTTCAATTATCAATGGTTCAAAAAACATTTTTTTAAAGTGCAGGAAAAATTTATTGAGAAAGCTTCTATCTAAGAAAGAGGGCAGGGGGACCGGAAAGTGGGTTGCCCCATCAATGGTTCAAACAGTTTATACAATAAATTCTACTTCGCTCCTGTTTTGACTCCTCAAATCCTCCAAAACAGACTCACTGTCTTCCGCTGCCGAGGCTTTACATGAGGCACACCACATCCCTCCTCTGTGGATCATTCCCACTCCCTACCCGCAGCCTTAACCCTCTGTGTTCTCAGTCCAGCACACATACAATTCAACTTCAGACACTCAGAAGACAACACAGAAGTTAATAAAACAACGGCCAATGTGAAAGAAAAGATACATAATTATAAAAGAACAAAGTAAGATAAAATATGGAAAAGTGCCCAAATCAAATGCACACTAAAGAAACAGAAACTGGCCAGTTCAATGATTCCTGAAAGTTAGTCTTTGATAAAATTTTATTGGTTCTCATAAAAATATGAAAACAAGAAAATTTACTTAGCTTTAAAAGACCTCAATTTATTTCAATTTAAAGGGCTATACTTTTTTAGGTTGCGTCTTCCCTAAATGGGAGTTAACATACCCTTTCTCTAAGTGATGGTAATTCATGTGATAGCTTTTGTTTATGCATTTTATTGTCCTTTTGTGGATGTGGACAGATGCAGAGGTCATCACAGAACCAAGATGGAGATCCTCTTCCTGGCTGGTCTCATGGCTTAGACTGCTGACAGTGGAATGTCTTTAGGAAATGCAAAATTTAGCACCCTGTTCCCAACTTCAAAGCTACAGCTATTACCTAGGATGATTAGTTCAGATACCAGCCTACCTGACTACACAGGGAAATATGTTGTGTTCTTTTACCTTCTTGACTTCAACCTTTGTGCGCTCTACATGGATCACAGCTTTCAGTAATAGGTGAAAATTTTAAGAAACTCAAATGCCAAGTGAATGGTGCTTCAGGGGATTCTCACTTCTGTTATCTGGCATGGATCATACCCAAGAAACAAGGAAGACTGAGACCCTTGAACATTCCCTTGGTATCAGACCCAAGAGCACTACTGCTCAGGATTATGTGAGCTCTTAAAAAGACTGATGAAAGCATCTCACATTCAGGGCCTCTTTATCATTGATGATACAGATATCCTTCAGGACATTACTGTAAATCACCTTCCTGCTGGCTGCTCTGTGCACGAGACCTGACATTAGTTTGGACCTTCTGGTTCTTTACAAACATGCGGAATTGCACCCAGGTAGCCGCTGGAAGCCTCAATGCACCAACAGGCCTGAAGTCCAAAGAACAAAGACTACTGAGCACTGGGCCATCTCAATGCCAGGTTGCTGAGGGCAGTCATGAAACAAAATCTCTATCTCATTCTCTGAAATGAAGTTTTATCTGAATATAAGTTGAAAAAAAAGAAGAACCAATGTGACAACCATAGGGGCCAGAGGGACAGAAAAGAGAAGCCTACAGGCTGATGCCAGGGGTTGGGGATGAAGAATGCAGTAAAGTCAGACTGGGGAACAAGGGGAGTTGCTCTGGGAGCCCTTGTAAAGCAGGCTACCAAGGGGTTGGGACTTTCCTGCAGGCACAGTAGAGAATGCTGAAGAGACTGAAACACTTACAAGGCAGGAATTTTAAATCCTACATTTTCCCTCTATGATCTTCCCAAACAGAAAAGCAGTTGGGCATGGAGAATACATTGTCTCTTTTTATGCCACTACCAAACCTAGTCTTCCACCACCACTAAACAACTATAGATAACTTTGTCTGTAAACAATGGAAATACAGTGGTACCTTGGTTCATCAATGCTTCAGCAACAACATCATCAACAATGGTTCATCAACAAAAGCATGTAGAAAAATTTTGTTTTTGTTTGCAAACACTACATCAGGTGACAAACTATCTTTCCTACACAAACACAAGCATGGAACAAACTATGGAACAAATTCAATTTGTGAACTGAGGTACCACTGTATTTAATTCATCAACTGATTTCAGGGAGACCTTTATATCCCCGTTAGTTACTATCATAAATTCTACACCAAAAGATCCTGAAGGGCGATGGAAACTGTTTTGCTTACACACAACCCCAGCATGGCACAATTCTGAGAGCACACTGAAGACACCTGTTTTTTATGATCATGACAATAAGTCTCTTCCACAAAACTTACTACTATTGTATTACAAGTCTTTACCTTCCCACCACCGTTGAACATTTTCTACTAAACTGAGGTAAGAGAGGCTGAACGACTTCCAGTGGCTAATGACAAGAAGCTAGAGACAAAAGAACAAAGTAGCACAACAGAAGCCCCTTCACTTGAGTCATTTTAAGTGACAAAATGAAAAAGTTGGACAAATTATGGCCTTCAGCAGGTTTTTACAATAATGGGAGGCTCTCAATGGGTCTTTTCCATCTTTCATTTCTAGGAATGGACAAATTTTTCACATGATGATAAATCAATCCTGGGTCTAGCAAGTATGTCCCACAATACCAAAACACAGCAAAAGGAACCCAATTATAAATCACTCCATTTCCTCAGGGAATACCACTGAATTATTAAAGGCTTCTATTAGGAGGGGAGATCACAGAAGAAGCACATCTCACTTCTCATAAAATATATTCAGCTTTTGTGTACCCCAACAAGCTATATATAGTTCAAAGACTTGTAGGCAGCTGGAAATTTACAGAACTTTCCTTCCCAGAAAAATACTGTTGAACAGAATAATACATGAAATATTTATAAATGAAGCATTAAAAATTAGGTCTGAAATCTACACTCATGTCCCATACAGCTAGTTTTTAAAAACTGGCCCAACCCAAAGTGTTCACTTAAGATCATGGATTCTCTAACCACACATACTCAAGAGAGAAAATGTTACACCTGTTCATTCAAATAGGTTTGACTATCACAATTAGCTAACTCAGAATCACACTGCTAGTCTTGAAAAAGTAGGGCTGATGCATCAAAATAAAATGGCCTGGCAAAACTGAATGGGAAAAGCATGGGTCTGGAATTTAGATCGATGCAGGTTTGGATTCTAAAAAAAATCACTCAGCTGTGGGGCTGGCAAGTCTCTCAGTGTCTGAACCTGTTTCTCTGAACTCATCCTAATTTGTAAAGATGAACAGATAAGTAAGCAAACGTCTAACATAATACCTGCAAAATGGGAGTGCCTAAGCAAGTAACTAAAAGGACTCTGAACAGGGCTGGAAAAGCAGTGTTACACTTCAGCATGACCACCCTTACTATATTCCAGGGAATGTGTCTCTGACAGTAAAAACGTCAGTCAAGCAATGTGCAGTATTTAAGGTAAGATATATACATAAAGCAGTAAGCTGTTTAAATGGGCCAGAAAATAAGCACAAGAAAAAATAACCACTAACTTCTAGTAGAAAAAAGTTCTAACTTCCATTACGTTTTTCATAGTCAAATAATATCTTACAAAATATTCAAAAGTAGTTTAGATCAAGGAACTTAACCCATGAAGGATATAAATCTGTAGCTGTTCATTCCTTTAAAAATATCCATTCTGTGGCACTGATGATATAAACATTGAGTAAGACAAGGTCCCTTACCTCATGTAATTCAAAACTTAGTAATGGCTACAGACACAAGTTGTAACACACCACCAGGTGTGGTGGCGCACGCCTATAATCCCAGCACTGAGAAGGCTGAGGGAGGAGGATCACTGTGAGTTTGAGACCAGCCTGGGCTACATAGTGAGTTCCAGGTCAGTCTCAACTATACAGTGAGACCCTGTCTCCAAAACACCAAAAAAAAAAAAAAGTTGTAACACACCCTAATAAGTGGTGTGCTGACAGCTTTCTCTGAGTTATTCAACAGGCATTACAGGAACTTGCAATATGCCAGGAGCCACACACTAAATGGTAGAACTAAACAAATGATGAAAAACGGAAACTGTATTCTGCAAGAATTCAGTCTGGCAAGGTAAAAAAGAGCAAATGATGCACCAAAAAAAAAAAAAAGTTGTAACACACCCTAATAAGTGGTGTGCTGACAGCTTTCTCTGAGTTATTCAACAGGCATTACAGGAACTTGCAATATGCCAGGAGCCACACACTAAATGGTAGAACTAAACAAATGATGAAAAACGGAAACTGTATTCTGCAAGAATTCAGTCTGGCAAGGTAAAAAAGAGCAAATGATGAGAGCAGCCCTGAGGCACAAGCTGCCCTGAGAGGAGGGACCATCTCAATCCGGCAGGGGGAGTTGGGGGAGACCTCCAGAACTATCTGTACCAAGGAGTAAAGGCTGAGTAGAAGGGCAGGAACCATGGGTGGAAGGGGACAGAAGCAGTACACGCACGAGGACAATGGGATGAATGTGTGTGGTGTCCACAGAATG